GGTGTCATTTACAACATGACAGTTGAATCTAGAAATTAATAAAAAGCATTCCAAATCTTGCTATAGAAAGTAGATGATAATCATAAAACAGGGCCAATATTTAAAACTCAATGACAATCACAATAGCTACAGGTCCTCACAATATTTCCATGAATTAGGTACAATTCTTACCCCATTGCCCCACTAAGGAAACGGTAGCACAGACAGATTATTTTATTCAGTGTTAGGCAGACATGGTAGAATTAGGATTCAAACTGAGGCAGTGTGAGTCTAAAGACCTTTCCCTCAAGCCACCCAGGACACAACCTCCTTAGATGTACTTTTGTAAATAAAGGTGTAAATAAAGGTGGCCTCAGCAGCCAGAGTTGATCAAGCCATCAGTACCGGGGTTTCTACCTTGAAATAAGCTTCAACAAGTAGAAAATGGTCCCAGTGAGTTCTCCCTGGTGGCGGGACCACCTGAGTGAACTAGTTTCTCTTTCTTTTTTGAAAAGAATACCATAGTGGGTGAAAGCATGAACTTTTGAGGCCAGACACACCAGCAATATACATTTGGCAAGTTACCTAACTTTATACCCACTTCCACATCTACAAAATGGTGATTAAAAAAAGCCACCATAGATGTTTTTTTTTTATCAGGACTAGAACAGTTTCTGTTCCTCAGCTATTTAGTGCAGCGTTTTACACCTACGATGAACCCAGTCACTGTTACTAATTTAAAACCTTTGCACAAGGAACATTAACTAGAGCTGAGAATTCCAAGTCATTTGCCATTTCTTATTTTTCTATTCATATACTGTTTTTCTTTTTTCTTTCTTTCCTCCTTTTTTCCTTTTTCCTGTGGAATTTAAGGGGGAAACCCTTTGAAGAGCATTTTTATGACATCAAGTTTGAACTCTTTGGGCAAAAAGGAAAGTTGTTTATATCTATTTGTAAATAGAAATAAGGGATTATGGAAAGAATCGAGGCAAGAACTATCTGTGGGCAAGGAAGATGGTCTATTTGGGTGATAAGTAGAATAAACAAATCGGAAAAATGGAAAACACTTCCATTAGAAAACTAAGGGGTCTTCTAAATCTACTTAGGATCTTAAGAAAATTCATTCATTTAAGGGCTGCCGTCCAAATCTTAGTGAAATAGCATAGTTGTGGGGACAGAAAGACCTAGAATTTAATCCCATCTCCCAAACCCCCAGGTGTGTGATGCTGAGCAAGTTGTTTACTGTCTTTGAGTCTAGCTGGGTAACTACCCCCTAGGTTGTTTTACAGGCTCTTATAATGTGTAAAGTGGTTGGTACAATAGTGCTCAGCCTGTGGGCCCCAGCCCAGCCGTGTTAGGGAACTTAGAAATACAGTACCGCCTACCTGCAGGTGGAGTCTAGCAATCTGTTTAATCAAGGTATCAGATGATTCTGATGCACTATAACCTAAGAGCCACTGGCTTTAGCACAATTTCTGGCACATAATTGGGGTCAATAAAAAGCCGAGGATTATTGTTGTTATTTGACAAGCTCTGTACTAAGAGCTGGGGACACACAGAGGAAAAACATTTGTGTTTCCTTCTAGAGTAACTCAACTGTCAAGTGTGACAAGAATTACTTGAGAATATCATTTGGTTTAAGTTCATGGCTCTCAAACTTGGCGGTACTGAAAAAGCTGGGGAAGTTTTTTTTGTTTCATTTTTTATTGTGGCAAATATGTATAACACAGTTTACCAAATTAACCGGTTTTTGATGTACAATTCAGTGGCATTACATATATTCACACTGTTGTGCGACCATCACCATGAGCATCTTCAGAACTTTTTCATCGTCCCAAACTGAAACTATGCCCAGTCAGTCCATGTGCCCTTTCATCCTCCCTGAAGCCCTGGTGGTCACACTTCTACTTTCTGTCTCTAAAAATGTGACTAACCGCCTTATATAAGTGGAATCACAGAGTATCTGTCCTTATGTGACTGCCTTATTTACTTAGCATAATGTCCCCTGGGTTTATCTGTGTTGTAGCGTGTGTCAGAATTTCCTTTTTTTTTTTTTAAGGCTAATAACATTCTAGTGTACAAAAATACCACATTTTGTTTAACCATTCATCCATGGGTGAACTTTTGGGTTGTTTCCATCTTTTAGCTATTGTGAATCATGGTCTGAACATGGTTGTTTAAATACCTTTTTGAGTCCCTGCTTTCAATTCTTTTGGGTATATACCCAGAAATGGAATTTCTGGATCACTTGGTTCTTCTATGTTTAGTTCTTTAAGGAAGTGTTGTACTGTTTCCCGTAGCAACTGCGCCATTTTGCACTCCCACCAGCAATGCACAAGGGCTTCAAGTTCTCCACCAACACTTGTTATTTTCTGTTTTTTGTTTTTTTGTTAATAACGGCCATCCTAATGGGTGTGATGTGGCATCTCATTGCGGTTTTGCTCATTAGCCATTTGTATCTCCTTTGGAGAAATGTCAGTTCAAGTCCTTTGCCCATTTTAAAACAGGTTGTTTTGCTTTTTTGTTGTGGAGTTCTTTATATATTTTCATAGATCTTCATATATTCTGGATATTAACCCTTCATTAGGTATATAATTCACAAATAATTTCTTCCATTCTTTGGGTTGCCTTTTTACTCCACTGATAGTGCCCTTTAATGCACAATAGTTTTACATTTTGATGAAGTCCATTTTATCTATTTTTTCTTTTGTTGCCTGTTGTTTTGGTGTTACATGTAAGAAATCATTGACAGATACGATGTCATGAAGCTTTTCCTATATTTTGTTTGAAGAATTATATAGCTTTAACACTTAAATTTAGGTCTTTGATCCCTTTTAAGTTAGTTTTTACATATGGAATAAAGTTAAGTCCAGCTTCATTCTTTGGCATACAGATACCATTTTTCCCAACATTTTTTGAAAAGACTGTCTTTTCCTTTTAAAATGGCCTTGGCACTTTGATTGAAAATTACTTGGCTATATATTTGAGCATTTACTTCTGGACTTTATTCTGTTTTCTTGGTTTATATGTCTGTCTTTATGCCAGTAACATACTGTTTTAATTACTATAGCTTTACTGTAAGTTTTGAAATTAGAAAGTGTGATAGATAACTCTTCTTTTTCAAGATTGTTTTGGCTATTTGGGACCTCTTGAAATTCCATATGAAGTTTGGAATGGCTTGCTCTATGTCCTTGAAAAACAAAGTTTGGAATTTCATAGGTATTGCACTGAATTTAGGTTGTTTTGAGTAGTACTGGCATTCTAAAACTATTAAGTCTTCCAAACCATGGACATGGGATGTCTTTTCCTTATTTGTATCCTTAATTTCTTTCAAAAACATCTTGTGTTTCTCAGTGCACAACCTTGGTTAAGTTCATTCCTGAGTATTTTATTCTTTTTGATCTTCTTGTAAATGGAGTTGTTTCCTTGGTTTCCTTTTTGGGTTGTCCTTTGCTGTAGTATAGAACTACCACTGAGTTTTGGATGTTGATTTTGTATCCTGAAGCGATTTTTTGTTTGAGAAGAGGAAAGAGAACCAAACACAGGCCATTGAAGTTAACTTATGAAATTTTCACCTATAATATTCTTGAGTTCATTTCCTAAGTTTACTTCCTATTGCTTCCTCATTCTTAGAGCTACCAAGACACACGTTTACAACAACTTTCAACTTCTGCATTTCATCTAATTTAAGACACCATCAATTTTAAGATGTAATCATTTTACTATTTTAATAAAATCTCCTCAAATGACAATGCCAATAAAGATTATGACAGAGCATCAATTCTAAAATGCATTCTAATTTGAAAGACATTTATATGTAAAAAATTAAGCATCTTTGGACCAATGAAATATGCAATTTTCCTGTTCATGTAAGCAGAAGTGTAAATGGATGGGGATAAAATAGTGTTCCAAGTCCCAATATATTTAATTCCTTGATTATTTACTGATGTGGGTCATTTATGTCAAAGATTTTGTGCTTATTTATCAGGGACAGTGAATTTTTGCTGTAAGTAAGAGTCAAGGGAACACAGGAGATGAGTTCTTGCTAGGTTTTCCATGAACATGAATTTGGTAGAGCTGTAAGGCTACTGAGCTATACTAATCCATGTGCTTGCAATAGAAGGGGCAATCAAACCATGTATTTTCCTCTAAGTATTTGCTCTTTAGGGGCAATATTTGTCTTGTCCAGGTTTGGATGAAGGCTGTTTGTTTCAGTTCCAGTCTCTACCTCACTTAGCTAAGAAAGCAGATGAAATGTAGCATCTTGGTCAGATCAAATAGGAAGACCGTGAATCTGAATCCACTCCCGCACTGGTGGTCCTGCAACCCTGAATGCAGTGTGAAGACCTCTCCTGTGCAGTCTGGAAATTTGACCAGGTCACAGCAGGGAACTGGAGTGGAAAATGGGCCCATTTAAGTCCCTCAGAAGGAATTCCAGAAGATCAAGAGTACGTTCAATCCGAACAAATGAAATGATCTGCCCAGTTATGTGTCGGTGCTTTATGACTGGAACTCAGTCGGGAGACTGCAGAAAATAAGGAAATCTCTCCTCATTTGCTTCTCCTCCCAGCACTTTTGCAAGATATGTATTTTTTGGTGATTGTTTAAAAAGTTTCCTCATATCATATGCCACCCTCACCCCATTTTTTTCCCTTTTTGAAAATGTAAAAAGCTCCTTTAAATAGGATTTGCTTTGTCGGCTCCATGATAGACAAAGGATTAAATTAAAGGAACAGCCAGCTGCTTTTCAATAGTTAGGAGAGGGGAAGGAACAAGCTGGAAAAAGTCCTGCTTCAGACATGTTTAGCTGCTCTTAGGTTACTCCTTTATTATTTTATTGTCTTCATTTCTTGGCCTCGGACACCAGGTTATCAACCTCCACCCATGATCTTCAAATTTTGGGGGCATAAGGCCACAGTGACTGAAGTGCCCTCAATTCAAGTCCTCTCAAATTATCCACCTCCCACTGCCTTTCAAACACAGACAGACAAACTCATAGTTTTGCATGCAGCCTTTTAGTTTTATTTTCAATTTTGGGATGCAAGACTTTCCAACTTCCCATTGACGTAGCCATAAAAATGCATGAAAAGGGGCCAAAGTAGCTGAAACTAAAGACAACCAATCCTCTTGAGAGGCTTTTTCTGGAAAGAAAAAATTGTCCATCACAGTCCAGATGGGTCATAATAACAAATCTGTTCCTGTGCGTACTTCTGGAAAGGGAAACCTGAACAACCAAAACAATTCGAGACAGGAGAATAAAGCTGGAGGCACCATGCTTCCTGATTCCAAACTACAGTATAAGACCATAGTGATCAAAACAGTATGGTATTGGCACAAAAAAAGATACACAGATCGATGGAACAGAAGAGACCAGAAATAAGCCCACCTATGTGTGGTCAATTGATTTATGGCAGAGGATCCAAGAATATACAGTGGAAAAAGGACAGTCTCTTCAACAAATAGTGCTGGGAAAACTAGACAGCCACATGCAAAAGAATGTGGGAGACCACTACCTTACCATAAATGGATTAAAGACTTGAGTGTAAAGCCTGGAACCAAACTCCTAGAAGAACACATAGGCAGGGAGCCCCTGGACATCTGTGCTGGGCGTGATATTTTGAATCTCACACTAAAAGCAAAGGAAAGAAAAGCAAAAACAAGCAAGTGGGACTACATCAAAAATACTTTTCAGAGCCAAAAAACCATCAACAACATGAAAAAGCAACTTACTGAACAGAAGAAAATATTTGTAAATCATGTATCTGATAAGGATGTAATGTCCAAAATATGTAAATAACTCATACAATTCAGTAGCAAAACAAAGAAACAATCCAATTAAAAAATGGGTAGAAGATCTGAATAGACATTGTCCCAAAGAAAATATACAGATGGCTGACAAGTACATGAAAAGATACTCAATATCATTACTCATCAGACAAAATGCAAATCAAAACCATAGTGAGATATCACCTCACACCTGGTAGAACAGCTTATCAAAAAGACAAGAAATAAGGGTTGGTGAGATCACAGAGAAAAGGGAATCTTGTGCACTGTCTGTGGGAATGTAAATCAGCGCAGTCACTGTGGAAAACTGTATGAAGGAAGGCTCCTCAAAAAATTAAAAATAGAACTACATATAAACCTGCGATTCCACTTTTGGGTATTTGAAGAAAATGAAAACACTCACTCAAAATGAATATATGCCCTTCCACGTTCACTGCAGCATTATTTACAATAACCAAGATATGTAAACAACCTAAGTGTCCCTTAATGAATGAGTGGACAGAGATGCGGTGGTGTGTGTGTATATATACATATATATAGGAATAAAATTACTCAGCCTTAACAAAATGAATGTTTTCCATTTGCAGCAACATGGATAACCCCCAAGGGCATTATGCTAAATGAAATAAGTCAGTCAGTCAGAGAATAAGAAATACCGTATGATTTCTCTTATATGTGGGAGATAAAAACAAAACAAAAAAACCAAGCTCATAGATACAGGAAACAGATTGGTGGTTGCCCAAGGTGGGGGCTGGGAGATGGGAGAAATGCATGATGGCAGTATTAAATATTAAAAAATAAAAAAAACTATGCTTCAAATAATAACCTATTTCTAAAGTCATGTAAACCCTGTGTGGATTTTTTAAGACCTGCTGCCCACTCATTCCACCTTCACCAGATTTAAAAGAAGAATTCGTTGCTTCCTACCAGAGTTAGGTACATGGTTGCTCTTCTATTAGGCTAGGACCCCAGGATCCTGGTTCCAAGCCAGTCCTGTTTCTCAGCGTTGATTCTGTTTTGTAAGCAAGGAAGAGCCTGTATTTGCCATCTGCCCATCAGATGTGCTGGACGCACTGTTAATATCTGACTGGAGCGACACAGCCCTTCCCTCTGGGCTCCACTCTCTTGTAAAGGCCTCCATGCTCTGTGAAAGATTGTACCAACTTCCTAAAGGTAAATTTCTATTTACTTTATTATCTTTGTACTACGATAAGGTTGCATAGCATAGAAGTTAAGACTGTGGATTCTGGAATCAGATTTCCTGGGTTCAGTTTCAAGTTATATTGTTAGCAGAGCCGTAACCTTAGATAAGCAACTTAACCTCCCTTGGTCTCACATCTATCTATAAAGTGTGGGAAATATCCATCACCACCTCACCGACATGTTGTAGAAAATCAATGAATTCATGTGTGTAAGGCACTTAGAACAGTGTCTGTGCACATGAAACACCCAACAAATCTCAGTTACTAGTATTATCATTTTCCATCATGATTTCTACTTCTAATAAATGGTGTCCTACCACCTCTAGACTATGTTTGCTTTAAAGCTACCTATTACCATTAAAATTGTTTAAAATTGTATCCGTTATCGGCCATGATACCTGTTTTTAGAGTTTAACTGTCCGTCTCCCTAGAGATATCTAGTTGGCAAATCTGTGCCAAACATCTTTCCTGGTCTACATCGCTGTATTTCATTCCTTGTCAGTTTATCATTCCGTTTTCATAAGCCAGAAGTGATCCAAATCTTTGATAACATGTATAGAGTCAGCCATTCCCTTCTTAAACTCTCTCTTTTAAAGTCATTATATTTCAACTAGAAAAAAAAAGTTCTGTCCTTCCTTCCTTCCCAAGGCTTTCAATCTAAGATCCACTCTTGACTAACGTTTGAACGCATACACACTGCGGTGTTACCTCGCCTTTGCCCCGGGGATGAGGCGCAGTTGGAGAAAATGGTGCGGTGGCCAGGTCCGGGGCAGCCCGGCAGATCCTTCGTCGTACAAACGCTCAGCTGTGATGTGGTGGGAAGAATGTGGTCCAGGGAGTCGGGACATCTGCGATCCAGGCTGAGGCTTTTCTAAGGAAAGCTTGTGCAAGTCATTCAACTTCACAGAGCATCAACATTGTTTCTCTAAAAGATGAGAAAATGCAATTGAAAGTTCCTTTTTTGAAGTACTGTGGCTCCAGGCGGGCAGCCGTGAGCCCGTGGTCGGGTCCCAGCCTCCCGACCTACCCTGAGTGCCGACCCCGGCGCAGGGGGCCAGTGGGGCTCAGCAGCCGTGTTCTGTGCTCCCGACCGCGGGGCCGCTTGGGTCGGCGCGGCCTGTGAGCCGGGCTCCCCTTCGCAGAGGTGTGGTTGCGGCTGCCACAGGATTTTATGTGGAATCGGGGTGTGGAATCACTAGACGGTAAAATCTCACCACCTGCAGCTTCCACGACCAGGAAATGCTGCTGCCGAGGGTTCCTTCCCGGCCCCAGGATGAGACTCAGGCCAAGAAAAAAGCAAAAATGACAATCAGAAGACATTTCATGTCATTACAGCTGCTTTAATGATTACAAGGGTAATTCTTGGGGCTCGTTTCTGCGGGGAAGCCGCCGTTTGACCAGAGCAGGGGACGTTCCCAAGGGGTCACGCGGGACGGCCTTTGCCGGGATCCCCCTTCCGTCCCCCGGGTCATCGGGCCTCTGCGAGGAAGCCGCGCGGTCGGCCCCATGGCGTGGGCTTCTCCCTCCTTGACCCAGAAACACAGCATGATTTGATCAGTGTCCACAAAGAGAATATTTTTCCCCTTTCAAAATGGTGTGGGTGGAAAAGTCCTCCATGCTGTCCAGTTCTTCGTGACCGTGACTGTCCCCTGGATCCAGTCTGATCATCTCCCAGACCTGAGACGCTAGCGCCACGATTTCATTATTTTGCCTTCTGCCCAAGAGCGTTTTTGGCAGGGTTCAGTAGACAAATAACCGACGTGGATGAAAACCTGACTGATTGAATACTTAACCTCAGTATAAAAAGGACCCCAGGGAGCGCTGCCTACTCCAAACAGACGGCGCTCAGCCCCCCAGGTCTGCGCCCACTTCAGGTGCCTGCCGGGTCCCAGCGCCGCCTGCACCGAGGGGGGGGGGGTTAGGTCCTGCGCCAGGAAGTGTTCAGTGCCTTCGGAGTAGTTTATGTTTAAATGACTTCTACTTTCAGGTAATTAAAAATAACAAACTAACAAAGAAAGCTAAAAATATAAATTTAAAAAAACACTCTAATTTGCCCATAAATAATGTCTGCATTGACACCTAGGGTGGTTTTTTGCACCTCAGAAATTCTCTATCGCACAAGGGACTGTAAGCATATGCATTTCAGACTTCCTGGGGAGATACCTCCCAGGTGGGGTCATGCCCCTTCACTTGCAGCAGGTGCTGAAGGTTTGATTCCTTCTATGCTGTGAAGGTGCCATGCTACCACTTTAAAGATGCACTAGCATGCCGTGTGCATTACCCTGGGGGGCGGGCGCCCACACAGGGGCTCCTGCTGTGCCCTGTCTCTGGAACCCAGGTCTGACCCCAGCTGTGCCACTTACCTTCCAGTCACAAAATTATTTACTCTCCTCTGTGTGCCTCGGATTCTGCCTCTGTGGAATAGGGGTAATAATAGTACCTACTTCAGATCGATGTGAGGATTAGATAAGCTAATACATGGGAAGCGCTAAAAACAAGGTCTGGCACGCGGTAAGCCCTCAACACGTTTCCTATATATAAAACATCATATCATTTGACCTAGAAATTCTATTAAGACAAATCTTCTTAATATACAGAGAGATATACACTGCAACCCTCTAGCAGTATAAATATGGAAGCAATTAAAATAACCGATGTAAGAGGATGAAAGAATAAGCAAATGATGGCATAGCCGTGCAATGGAATATTAGATGAAGTGGGCAAAGATTTAATTAACATGTAGATTCTAATTTTATAATATTAAGCAATACAAACATGATATAAAATTATGTAAATGTAATTTTAGTTGTATAAATCAATAATCACAGAGGGAATGAAATAGAAAGCATGGTTAATAGAGATGATCTGACTTTGGGTGGGTTTTGCAATTCATTACTTTCCTCTTTCTTTCATAAATATGGCTAAAGAAATTAAAGTAACATTTATTAGTTTTAAAGTAAGTTCTTATCATGAATGAGGACAAAGTTGACATGGGATGTCAATGTAAAATATGAACACTGGAGGAACCTTAAAAATCATCCACTCTGTCCTCTTTAATGAGGAAATAATTGAAGCTGAGAAAGGTGAAGTGACTTGTTCGGTCACAATTAGAGTGGGAATACGGATTTTAAATTTCTATTGCAGTCTGACTTGTTAAAATGGCGATGTTGGATAGTCTTTGCTGGGATGCTGTCTTATGCGTATGTGACTAAGAAAAATATGAAACGATTCTTTAGAAATTGGGATTCTCTTCTTTGGCACTAAGTAGCAATTTATAACTATGTCTTTGAAGGAAAATATCATTATGACATGGACTATAAAACAGCATTGATATTTCAAAGAGAAAGATTTCAATCTATTTAAAGGGAACAGAGGAAAAATGTTTTTCATTATGTAACTACCCCGAGTAACATTTCGGTGTTAGTGTGCGCTGGTAATGCTCACACAACTCTCAGTGGCTGACAGGAAATGACAATTGAAGCTGGAGTCACAGATCAAGTAGGCGGGACTCTGAGAGCAATGCCCCCAAAGGAAATGGTACCGTAGCATATGTGAGGTCATAAACTCACCCCGGTGGGTGTGCATCATCAGTCCTTCGTATTATTAGGGGACAGCATTGAGTACATGCACCTCACCTGCAACTGGGTCTTACTCTCATAGTCTGAATTCTCCCCACTTTAGGTTTAGTGTATCTCACTGTATATAGTATTTCTTAATAAGTCACCTTAATTCATTCCTAGACTACAATGAGGTGTAAATGAACTCTTTTGTTACTGTTGCTATCGTTGTTGCACTGAGGCGTACTCCTGCCATTTTATTTTGTTTTCTATCTCTTATGCTTTCTCCTTATACCACTTATTATTTTCCATTGGCTTCATGGAGTGTTTCTCAACTTGTCTTAGAGTCATGCATTCTGTTTTATACTCCTGGTCATCACCCCTCCCTCACGAAGGCTCAGATGCACCCTTCTTCACACACTAGCAATACTGAAGCCGAGCTGTGTCTGCCCATTACCCTGGACAAAACACCAGTTAGCACGCTCCCGTCTTCTGTTGGTGCCCCAAATACCACCTCCCATCTCCAGTCGAATTAGCATTTCATAGAGTTTTAATACCAGAGCATATGGATCCAGATTTTACAAATCTGTGATTATTTGGGAAAATGTAAACCTTATTAAGTTCATCCTGCTCGCTTTGCTCCCTGTCTTATTGCCTCTTTCTACATTTACTTTCCTTCTTCCTCAAGTACAATTGTGAAGAATTCTTTCAAAGAGGATCTTCTTTTTGTACTTACTACTCAAGACCCTATGTGCCTGAGAATGTCTTTAACCTCCTTTGGTGTTAAGTGCAAAGACATCTATATGTGAAATTATTTGTTAAAATTTCATTTTTTTCGGCATTTGCCAAATAAAATTCTAGTTATCATAAGCCAGTGTTTCTGTTAGCATATCTACTGTCAATCCAATTTTTACTCCTTTGATAAAAGTCTGATTTTTCTCTCTATACACATTTGTAATTTTTGTCTTGAATTCCACTAAAATGCATCCTGAGTTCTTAGGTAATCTGTTTTAATTAATATGAGCCCTAATAATCTGAAATACTACAACATCATTTTCTAATTGTAAAAATTCCCCTTATTTTCTCAAATGCCTGCTCATTTCTGTTAATGTTTTTTCCAGGACTCTTACTGGGTGGATGTGGAATGGTTTCTATTTTCTTCCATATTTGTTACCCTTTCTCTTATCATTTCTCCTTCCCTGATGACCTCTGTGAATATTCTTTGCTGTAACTTTCTGCTCACTGAATAGTTCTTTAGTCTATCCACTGGGATTATTTCAAGAACTATTACCTCTTACATGAAATAACTCCAATTAATTTTTCCTCAGAGCTGCTTTTTCCTACTGTATGTTTGCAAATACGCTCTCTTATCTATGAGCCTTTCACACTCTTATCCCTTCTCTTACATTAGGTCTCTCTCTTATTGTAAAACTTCCTAAATACATCATCTTATGTTTATATTCCCTTAAGTCCTCAAAAGTCTTGATCCCCAGAAACCTAAATTTGTTCTCTTTTCATCATCAGCTGCCTTGAATAGTAACGTCTGCGTTAGGGGGATCGATAAAAACCGAGGCCTTAGCTTGTACTCCCTGCAGTGAGGCTGGAGGGAGGCGCGCCTGGGGACAGAGCCTCTGTCGTTACGTTCCTCGCCTTTTTATCTCCATGGCTATTTGCTGGCGGTTAAGGAAATCACCCAGGGCCTCTGACCCAAGCTGTTAGAATCCAAGAGTAGCTACCCTCTGAAACAGTGCCTCTTTCAGAGAGTGGGGAGAAAACGGCGTGCCGACATTTGCCACTATTGGCTGTGCGGCAGAGCAAAGTCACCAGCTATGGCGGAAAGGGCACCCCGGGAGCGCCCTCCCTAGGCCAGGCCACCAATGCGCGGCCTGAAGCTCTCGCCTTGGAAGCTGTTTCCCACTTACTGGGACTCATTTGCCTTTTTTTCTCCCCAGGGTATTTGCTCAAATTTTTTGTTCGTTGCTGTGGCATCTCCCAATTTGAGTTGAAGGGACAAAGCCAGAAGCTTGGACTTCTCTTTGGCTTATGTCATTTATATGTAAACTATATTGGCTTATTTTTTAGCAAGACTTGGAATCTATAATTTAATTTCAGACACAGAGATTTTAACTAAATGCAAACTATTGGAAACAGTATAAGAAGTTAACATAGTAGCAAAAATTTTAAATAACTTTTTAGTTTTGAAATGGACTAGATACAAAAGGTAAATATATAGAACCCCCTAAATATAATAATATATTAATATAGAACCCATTTTAAAGTTGTATTCTATAGAGAACAAATTCTTCATCTCTTTAGGCACTCCTGGCATATTTTACCTGTATAGCTCCAGATGAAACTGTAATAAATTTAGAGAGGTAAAATTTTAGCTATTCACATTCTCATATTGTTGCAAAAAAATTTAGAATAATAATAACCCCCACCAACAACCAAGAAATCCAGCTTTTTAGAAATTAAAACTTATCTGCTAAATACCACTGAGATCAAATTATAAATTAAAATGTTGGTTATATATCAGGGTTGGCCAGAGTGTAGGAAAATGAGCATGAATACCCACTATTGTGTGAGCTGATAGAGCCTTTTGTTGAACACAGTGTGTGAGTACTTATCAAAATTAAACATGTACATACCCCTTGACCTAGGAAACCCCCTCCCTGCAGTCTATCATGGAGACATATTTATACATACAGGCAACGATATGAGCATGGACATTAACAGCTTTTTTATGTAATGTATGTTTATGTGAATAAAAGAAACTTTGAAAGAATGGAGACTGGTAGCAACTGGTACCTTGAACCTGAGGAAAGGCAGAAGAGAGGACTTACTTATTTTTAGTTACATATTTCCACACTACCTTAAATTTTATAATTAATAAATTTTATAATTAATAAAAAGTAATAAAAATTAATAAAAAGTATAATTTTTAATATTGGAATATTTAGAAATAATCATAATGTGATTTAAAAATATCATTATGAGATGTAACCAAATATCTGGTCATACCCAGTTTAGACCCTTATGCCAACATTATACGAGAAAGAATGAGAATGTCTAAACAAAATTATTCAGTGATAGAAATTAAATATGTACAACAAAGCAACTGTAAGAAAAATATTTCAAAATTGATTAAAAAATTGACAATTATTTAGCAAATACATCCAAACATTAACTCTCTGGAAAAATTAAATAAAATGGAAACTCTTTGGGAAGTCTAGGGAAAATGTAAATACTCAAAATTAGGAATTAAAAAGTAGATAAAACTACTGAGAGAAAACTACAAGGTAACACTTTTATACCTTTATGCTACTTTATATAT